CAACCTTCATTCAAGAGCAAAGACCAATCTGAAAACTTAAAAGAAATTGTGTTAATCGCGATACTTGTCGATACTTGACTGAACATCTTTCTCTTGACATCAGTTTTAGTCATGTCACAGTCACGACGCGTCTTCACGCACAGAGAAGTTCATGGAACAAAGTGTTCAACCCCAAAACAAAGACCCTCAGAAACAGGAGCGACAATAAGTGAGACATTGGTGCTCGTCGAGTCACGTTAACGGAGCGTGATCAGATCAACACATACCATGCTGACAGCGTGCTCCAGGCTCCAGTTTCCAGTAGCTGGTGTGGCTTCCCTCTCTGACAAGGCTACTTTTAAAATCTTCCTTTTTTGGGTTTGACAATAATATGACTGGAATTAAGAACCCACTTTGCCCAGGGAGACTGAATCAAGTTGTTTTCTCACCACTCGTGGCAAAGTGTCGGTTCTGGAACGTGCTCCTGTCGACGACCGCCCGAGAAGAAGTGAAGGAGAAGTTGGAGCCAATGGGAGAAGTGGGGGGGCTGAGCTGCCCTTCCCCTGGCCAACATAAATACACACTACTGGATGTGATGTGTGTGTCCGGCCCCTGTCCACACTGCAGCCTATGGGAAAACAGTCAACTCACTAATTCAATTCTATTTTATTTGCATGTGTAGAATATGTAAATTCAAGGAACATTAATTATAGAGAAACCCACAAAACTTTGGCAAATGTGGAGGGACAACTGGGAAAACAATTCAGCCTGGACAATGGGGGAAAGAGATGAGAAAGACCAGGAACAGTTTTTAAAGTAATTATATTGATGATGACGATAATAATAATAATAAAATAAATCATAATAACAATAATAATAACAACAACAACAACAATAGTACTTACTGTTGTTGTTGAGAAAGGTCCTGCAGCTCTGGAGATACCTGCAGCAATGTGAGAGAGAGAGAGAGAGAGAGAGAAATCCTCAGTGCATGATGGGAGTTCCCCCAGCAGTGTAAATTATGTATTTGTGTGGTCACACTGTTTTTCTGCCCAAATAACATAGCTATTTATCTGTGTTGTTTATTATTTAAAAATTATTTATTGTTTTAAATGCTTTTAAAAAACGTGCACATTTCCACCAACTGGTAAAAAGGGCAGTATCCACTCTTTGCCTCTGTGTACAAACTGCTGATTGCAGTAACTGTGGAGATCAAATGAAAAGCTCTTCAGATGAAACCTGTTTGAGATCAGAGTCATGTGAACGACGTGAAGAGTAAAGATCAATTAGACTAATTGAAAGGTTCAGTGTATGGAATCTAGCGACCTCTAGTGGTGAAGTTGCACGTTGCAGCTGAATAGCCCTCACCTCAGCCTCCACTTCCACACATGACAGAAAACCTGTGGCAGCTTCAGTTGTCATAAAAACCCGAAAGGTGCACAGAGGCTGCCATGTTTGGGCTTCTGTATAAAAAACCAAACATGGCAGCCTCTGTGGAGAGGACCCACTCCTGATGAAGTATTTAAATATAAAGGGATCAGTGTAGAGTAAAGAAAACAAGAATTTGTACAATTTAGATAAAACACACTAGTGAAAACATCACTCAGATTATTTTATATTCAATTTCTGCCAATAGACCCCTCTCATGTAAATCTTACACACTGGGCCTTTAAATGTGGATCATGATGGTAAAAACTATGTTAGCAGATCATATGACTCATTTGGCCAGAACCTATTTACATAGTCAGGCTGTAATTTAAGAAAGGTAAAAGCAGCTGTTGTAGAGTCAACATCCACTGAATCATCAAACTAACAGAGCAGCTGAACCCTGACCTGCAGGAAAGTCCATAAAAATATGCACCTCATTATTGCAGTTCATTATTTCTGCTATAGTAAAGTAAAATAATTAATGTCCTCACTCTGCAAAGCCACTGAAACCTGGTGTTGAATCTTTTACGTTTTGTGGTTGTACAGCAGCTGAAAGCTCAAATATCTCTCTCCTGTATCATCATCCGTGAGACTGTGAGCAGCTATTTTTTTGAAACTGTACTGAGTCGAGCTGCAGGGGGTCTAAGCTGCAATGACCAGTTGGTGTCGCTGTTCACCAGCAGCTCACTCTTCCCTCATCCCATATCCTGCATACTTTAAATTCTTCTTGTCGACAGGAGAATACAGTAAAAAGAAAAATCATAATGAAAACACGGAATTCATTTTATCAAATTCTACCATGACATTGTTTGCTAATCCTGTAATTCAATGATGCAACACATATTTCATTGATTCTAATGTTTCAACTATTTCCTTTAACCAATTGTAGTATGTCGAGCTATAGAACTATACCTGTACAGTATTAACTATAAATTATTTTTCACTTTCTCGTTAACATTGCAAATGGTGCTTTTATCATGTTCATGTTTCACACATGTTTTGGGGACGATGATTTATGAGTGTGTGCAAATAAAAACACATCTGGTGAATCTAAGTTTTATAGTTTTATGATTGAATATATGTTTAGTACATGGCTGCATAGTCACAAAGAAAAGTTCTTATAAGAAAGAACATTTAAAAATTAATTTTAAAGGTTATTTAAATCAAAATCAAAGCAGCAGTCAGCTAATTTATAAGCTCACTGAACTAATAGATCCAAAGAATGATTCATTTCTTTTTATTGTCCTTTATTCATCACATTTTTCACCTCTATTGTTATCATGGCCTCAAACGAAACCTGCTGCACTGAATGTGTGGAAGTGGCGACTGCATGACATTTCTTCACTGGCATGTGCTGCAGATAACATTAGCCCCTTGGCGCAAGCCACAGGCAGTTGCTGATAGAAATGCCTGTCTGAAGTCACAGGAAGCTCACAGAGACGCAAAGAGAAGGGAGGGCCGCAGCCCTCATAGGTGTATGAGAGAGTCAGAGGAGAGTGAAAGCAGCAAGACAGATTAACTGCGAAAGGAAAACCAGACTTGTTTTTCTTGTTCTTGCATTTCTCTAGAAGGTGGGACGTACCTAATCATGAACAGCTCAGATCAGAGCACACACAACTCAGCACGAGGATTGGTTTCTGTCCCTTGGATTTAAGCTCAAACAGCACAAGAAGGTACAGTGATGGATCTAGAATTCAGTACTTAACTTTGTGGAAACTGTTTGTAGGTGTGTGTATCTGTGTGTGTTTCTGTGTGTGTGTGAGAGAGACAGAGGGAGAGAGAGAGAGAGAGAGGCGGGTGCACCTGTCATGTGAAGGACAGCTGCTTTACGTCAGTAATATGTGGAGACTTTTCAAGAAGCTTTACCTCATCTTCACACATTAGAACTTCCAATCACTTGCAATTGCATGGGGGACTTTGACTGTGCATTCCATTATCATTTGTTAATGCTTGAAAAAGTTTGCATTTTATCTTCTGCTCTATCCACATGTTGGAGGAGAAGAAATGAAGGAAGATAAAGGGGAAAAGAGCTGAGATGTGTTTGCACAGCACAAACTCTGTGGTTTTTAAATTTGGAGAGTTTCTCCATCAAGTTTTGGTGGTTGTGTCATCTGCATACCAGGAACCTGATGACAGTGGAGCATGTGAGAATACTTGTTATTCTTACGATCAGGGTGTGACACTATCAAGCCCCCGCTCTTCTTATTTTCAATATACGATATTCAGGTTAAGGCTGAAATGAGTGTTTAAAGTTTATGAAATTCTTTTATATCACATTGATTCATATGTAAATGTTCCACTTGATGGACCGAAACAATGAGTCACATTAATTGCTAATGAGCTCATGCCCTGATAATTACAGCGGGCTGATACAACAATTAAGCAACAAGAAATTAGATGCGACATAAAAGTTGATATGCTGGCAAAAATTTCTTGAAAAAAGGTTTTATTTTAATATCTAAACATCATTTCCTGTTTTATTTCTGTGAGGCAGCAGAGTGCTACAGTGTTAAAAATGTTCCTGACAACAAGAAGGATCAGTTTTTTAAATTCTGACTCTTCAGTGTTGTGGAGTTTGGATTTTCGCCCTGTGTCTGGGTGATGTTCCTCCTTCCTCCACAGCCCAAAGACATGCAGCTTAGGGTGATTAGAGAGTTTAAATTGTCCACATGTGTGAGTGGAAATGGTATACATACTATATGGTTGTTTCTCTTTATGTCTGCCCTGTAATATGTTGTGCAAAATGTAAGTTTTGCCCAAAATGTCAGCTGGGATTGGTCCCATGGATGTATATCTGTATAATCTTGATTTTTCTCTTTTTATCTGCACACACCAGATGTCTGCACCACCTCCGGTGGTCCCGAGAAAGCCCTCAGGCCTCCGAGTCATGATACCTCCAGGAGAGCGGCATCTTCCCGGCAGCCTGCCCAACTACACAGTTTCTGGCAAAGGTGTACTAATGTGCATGACCACGTACTGTGGATTTATGGATACTATCGTGTAACTCACTGCAGCAGGCTCAGTGTTTTTTGTAAATGTGTTCATTTTTGTTTCAGTAACATTTTTGTTCTCCCTCTGCTCAGACAATGGTGCCCATGAGGACTCAAATCATACATCTCAACTAAATGCAGAGAGAGAAGTGGTATGTACTTGCATAAATAATTTTGTTATAGATTAGTTATTCATATATATATAAATGGAGAGAGAGAGACAGACACATTGTAAGGCAGTGTCATTATCTTAACGTCAAATGAGATCATCTCCTGTGCAGAGAAGCTTAACGAAAGTATGTAGTCCCATCAAGTTTATGACAGTAACCCTCATACAGCACCTCTGCACTTCCCAGACAGAAACTATTGTCTATACACAAGAGAGAGGCCATAACAGCAGACACGAGAGTTTGCAGTTGATCAAAATAAAAATAAAAAAGTAACATAAGCATTTAAATTTAAAAACAAAGAAACAATAGCTTCAGCATACAGATGATATTAATTTTGTTAAAGGAAAAGACAGAAAATCACATCATAATGTAAAATTTGCAGTGCATATGATGTTCAGGCTATAAACATTAAGGCTACAGGATGTTTGTATAGTAACATATCCTTTTAAACTTGTCTACTGTGTTATTAGTGATGTTGAAAGGAACCACTCCCATTGTTCCTGAAGAGCTAATCTGATCTAAGTTGTAGAAATAATATGTGTGCAGACAGCAGAGAAGGGACATAGCTTTTTTTTTTTTTAAACGTTATGAAGGAAGTTTCATTTGGCTCGTGGTTAATGCAACTTCAGCCGAGCCAGTCAATAAACCAATGATCTACGACTGCAACACAGGAATCTGCAGCAAATACAGGTTATAACTTTCAGCTTGTTGCTCAGCTTGTGGTAAAGCTGTTTTATTAGATTTTATTTTATGCTCATGCAGATGTTGTGTTACTCTTCTGGACAAAACAAAAGAAGTTTGTATAAATACTGATTTTTAACATTAAACAAAACGAATTACACAGTTTATAAACCTTATGATTACTTATCTCTTGGTTAGTGCATTAAATTATCTGCATTATGATTTGTTACGTTATTAAGTTGAAAACTGCTGTGAGTTGCGTGGGAGTATAAAACATACAGTGTGTGTCTCCTTCAGGAGATTCTGAACCACTGCTTTGACGATGTGGAGAGATTCATGGGGCGGCTGCAGCAGGCGGCCGAGGCCCAGAGTGTTCTCAACCAAAGAAGGAAGAAGTCAAGGAAGAGCAAGAAGAAGATGGAACAAGATGGTGAGAGGATCCTCACTATCAATCAACTCACTATGGTTGCACGGTTTCACAAAGGATGGTTTAGAGTGATGTAGGCTAGAGGGAGAGTAGGAGCAGGACACTGAAGGTTGAATTGGCACACTATCAACAGTCAAATCAAAAAACCCTCAGGTGCTTCAGATAAACTCTCGCCCACAACAAACATTCTTAAGAAATTTGAAATGTCTGAAGCTGGGGCCAAGTCAATTCTGTGTGTGGTGTATTTGTTAATTTGCAGGATTTCACAAAAAACAGATAACTATGAACCTTGACTGAAGGATGTAGTACGGGTCAGGGAGGAAACCCAGGAATATTTTTTCACTTTCTTTAACTAACTTTCTTTTCTCTTGTCAACATTTTTGTTTTTATTCATGGATCTTGATGAAAAAAAAAGTGACATGTTTGGGTTGTGTGCAAATCTGCATCTAGTGAATTTAAATGTGGGTTGATAGGGGGACTGTAGGGCCTTGGTGGTGGTGCGCTCTACCCAGTGGTGAAAATAGGAGAAAAAAATACTACTTTGCATCTAGCGTGAGAATAAATGAGTTATCTGAATAGATTTAGGGTATTTTGTACCTTTTTTTGGACTCTGGTTGTACTCTCTTGTGTGCAGAGGACTTGTTGACCATGAAAGCGTGTCCTCCATCAGAAGAAGACTTCCTGGACGTCTTTCAGAAAATCAAGTACTCCCTCAGCCTGCTGGTGAGATTACACTAGTTATTTATAATTAAACACTGAGTAACGCCACTGGAAATGTAAATGAAAATGTCTGCCTGTTTAGGACCGTCTCAAGTCGTCCATCTCACAGCCTGATGCGCCCGACCTGCTGCACCACATCTTTGTGCCTCTCAGACTAGTGAGTCTCTCCAGAGTTTGATTAAGTGGTTTTTCTTTCCGTGAAACTGACGCTGGTGACCTTCTCCTTCACAGTTGGTGAAAACCACAGCAGGCCCAGCCTTAGCTGGATCCATGGTTAGTCCTGCTATGACCAGCGGTGCTGTTTCACTGCTCCAGGAGCATCTGACTGAGGCGGAAAAGGAGCTCTGGACTTCATTAGGGTCTAACTGGACTTCCTCATGGTCTGTGTGTTTATGTCTGTGTGTGTAAATCTGGTTTTGAGACTGTGCTGTGTTGAGCTAACCAAAAGCTCTTTCCCTGTTTTTCCCAGTTCGAACCTTGATGTGTCTGCTGCTCCATATTCGCCCGTCTTCCTGGACGGATGGCAGTCGCAGGCCTATGACTCAGCTGGACAGCCTCTGGAAGATCCCATCGAGTCGCAGCATAAGCAGGATGCTCTCAGGGAGAGGAGAGAGGCCCGAACTCTGCAGAAACAACCTCGACAAGCAGCCGAGAGCACCGGTGAAAGCACTGATGAAGTGTAAGTCTGTAGACAGAGCAAGGCATAGTTACATAATATACTGTATGTAATAATGTACTGTACAATGCCAGTAAAATTCCTAATGGCTGAAATTAACACTATTGCCTAATAGTATCACTCACTGATGTATCTCTCAACAGATTTAAATTACTGATGTCTGAGTTCATTTTCATTTCAGAGAAGGCAACGGGCTCCCACCAGAGGGAGAGAGGTTTTACTGCTGCAGCTACGACTTTGTGGCCAGAAACAGCAGCGAACTGTCTGTGCTACAGGGAGAAACACTGGAGGTGAAGACACACAAGTAGAATGGTACTCAGTAGAGCGAATACCTCCGCCAAGGCCCAACAGTGCCCTTAGGAAACAACTCTACACACACTCATATGAGTCCCCGAAAGATCCAAAAGAAATCAATATTAAAAAATTCCTTATGTCAGTAAGTAAAAGAGAATTCTGGATCCACCCTCTGATCTGGATCCACACCAAAATGTAATGAATCCATGGGACCCATATCCCATCCTTACATCGTGTTTCATAGCGATCCCAGTCAACCTTGCTTACAAAACAGACAGGGGTAACGTCTTGGCAGAGGTCATTAGAAAAATAAGTGGTGACCCACCTGTAAAAGTACAAATAGTCTTGGAATATACCAGAAACCCTTCGCTGATTTGTGAGACATCCTCTCTTTAGGTAGTTGAGTCATCGAAGCGATGGTGGAAGTGTCGGAATCGATTCGACCAGATTGGATTTGTTCCCCACAACATCCTGGAGCCTCTGTCTGCTCTGAATAACACAGGGAGGGACAATCCATTGGTCCGCAAAGAGTCAAAGGTACAAGTACACACGCAACACTACTCTGACTGTTTAATGCCTGAAACACTTCACACACTGTGTGGTTTTAAGCCATTTGACGCTTTTATTTCTTCCCTGTTCTTCCACAGATTGCACTTTCCCCGACAACAAACTACTTCTCATTTGCTCCATCCAGCCCGGATGGAACCAGTCCTACTGCTGCAAGCCCAACACGCCCACATAGTGCGGGGTTACCATCTGCAACAATGGGAGACGACAATGACAGAGGTAACGAACATCACGTGTAGGATACAAATATAGAAAAGAGCTGTTTATGATATATATACAAATTTCGCAGTGGAGAAATGGGACATTTTGACCTAAATTATTGTGTATGATGCTGTAAATGATACTGTGCTGGTGCATGTGTATGCAGATTACATTTTGTGTTTTTGCAGTCTTGATAATAAACGATGAGCTTCTGCAGCGGCTGGCTGGGAGAAAAGAATCTGTCCGTCTGCCGGTGGTCAATCGCACCTCCGACACTTCTGCTCCCCTGAACTACCACTCGCAGCCTGCTGAGGTGGAGGCCTGGCTCACCACTAAAGGCTTCAATCCACAGTGAGTGTTAATTGACTGATTCAGCACAAGGCCAAAGCCACGTTCTGGTTCTTTTACAGCCACGTATACTAATCTCAAGATCCCTAATTATGAGGAATACCACGTCCAATGTCACGTGTGTATCAAAATCAATCAAACATGTACCTTTGTCTCACTGAGGGTTTTTGAAATTAGAATTACCCAGAGGTGAAATGGTCTCTAATGTACCAGAAAATCAGATTTTATTGATCTGAAGGTGGAATGAGATTTATGGAGGTGGCTATTGGACATTTCAGTGCTGATATGTTTATTTATTACCAGTAAATTACATTAAACATGCTGCTGATCTGCACAATAGCGCCCTCAAATGTCAACAATGAACAAAGCAAGAACAGTGAGCTGGATATTTGCAACATCAAGTGCAAAAAAAAAGTTGAACTTAATTAAAGGAGGATCTAAAATTTGTAATTTTCCAAATTAAAACTAATCTTCTTCTCGACATTATTATTAAAATTGGGGATGTTTTGACAATGAAAAGTGATCAGACACCAGCAGAGATTTTGTTGCTTCTTTCTCCTCCGTCAGGACGATTCAGAGTCTGGGCATTTTAACTGGAGCGCAGCTTTTCTCTCTGAACAAGGAGGAGCTCCGCACAGTGTCATCGGAGGATGGGGCAAGAGTTTACAGCCAGATAATGGTGCAGAAGGCACTTCTCGAGGTTTGTCTAGTGTTATTCTAGGTAAACTGTGTGTGTGTGTGTATATATGTGTGTGTGTATATATGTGTGTGTGTATATATGTGTGTGTGTGGGTGTGTGCGTGTGTGTTGTTAAGCTTGGGTCGATGTGTCCTGAGACAATTGTTTGTTCAGCCTCGACTGATATAGACTTACATCTTTTTAGCCTGTTGCCATTGACCTACATTGACTAAAGTTTATTTACCTTCCTGTTTAGAGATCCAAAATACATAGTAACTTCTAAATAGGTTAAAGGTCAGAGCCTTCTCGTTCTTCTGTCTGACGTTAAAGTAATTTCACAAACAGTGTGTCTTTCATTTAAACCTTTACCGTACAGACACTGGATGAAATTCAAATTAAATATCTCTCTTTCGTTCTCAGGATGTGCACAAAGCCACAGAACTGGAGGCGGTGATGGAGAAACAAAAGCAGAAGATCGGCCTGGAATCAAAGGGTGGAGCATTTTGACTGAGCTGTCCACATCCGCATCAGACATCAATGGACGTACACGTGGTGTTGCTCGTACAGCTGGTGGCACAGAGGCATGTTTTAATCATATGTGTTGTTGTGTCACTTCTGTGCTAAAGATTCATCGACAGGAACAAACTGTGTTCAAAGTAAGACTCTCTTACTAATACTCTAATAGTGGAACCAAACAAGAGGAGCTTTAAACTCCTCGACAGCATACGTACATTATTTTTGTTCTGTATTTAGTGAAATATATAATATGTAGTACAGATGCATACAGTTACAAATTGTACTACAGTATGCACCCATGACATTGAAGAAGAAACTAATACTTCCAACAGTAGAAACATGAGTAATACAATTTACACCAAGCTGTTTCTGACACTACTGGATTTCAAGTGCAAAAGATTGACTTCATTCGCTCGTCTGACTGAAAGCTTTAAAATGTCGCCCTCTGGGACAAGTTTTAGAATAAAACATTTACTGACAACATTGTGAATTTTGAAAACAAGTGATGAACTTCAGTTCAAGGTAGAAACAGTGTGAAGGTTGTAAGGTGCAGCTGTGGCTTTGAGGGAGAACAGCAGGTTGTTATTATCAGGGTTGTTGGTGCGACGTACTGCTGGTGTGGCTCCAGCTGAGCACCAGGTTTCTTCAGTTACCCTCAAGACTGTGGCATGGAAGTTGAGAGTCGGCTTTGGTCCCAACTTGGACCACTTTGAAATACACTACCCACGTGTTTATGCCAATGAGGGACATCACAGACCACATGTGAAACACACAGATTGTCTGCATGGGCACAGGATGTGGGGGGGCGAGGGGCTGCTGCCGGAGCCATGGCCTCCAAAGAAGGTCCGAAAGTATTTCGGGGGGAAAAAAGAGACGGGAAAGATCCGCAGACGGAGGCACAAAGGAGAAGATGTGGTGGATGTTGTTTGACGAACCACCTCAGAATCAGGGTTCTCCTCCTGCTCTCAGCGACCCTTTCAGGAGGAGCAGCTGGAGGACGGTCACTCATAGAGAAGACAGACTGTGATTTTAAAGAGTGGCATTTACCAAACGGAGCCACTGAGGGAATTTATGACTGTGTTGAGACCAGGCTGTTACAGTGAGAGTCATGAACAGTCTGAGTGAATCAGTTTTTATTGGGTTAACGTCAACCTGCTTGCTGCAGACAAATGCACATTGAACTTACTGTACGTCATAAATACACAACTTCAGTCTATGAGATTAAAAAAGTTGCATTGTGGTGCACATCAGATCAGCATGTATACGAGGGATACAAGGGATACGTTGCTGTGGATGTAGCAGCTTTAACAAAAAATGATCTATATTTTTCTATAACAACTGTGTGTTCTATGATTAAAATATATAATAAAGCATTTCTGTGAAGAATTCTATTACGAATTATTTATTTCACAGTTGATACTGAGTGCAATATAAAAGCTCAAGTCATTTTTTATCTCTGTAAGGGATTTAAAAAGTGACACTGCAGATTTCGGCGCGCTGTGTGTGTGTGTGTGTGTGTGTG